CCTCTATGAAATGTCCCCGTTTGGGCAAATACTTACAAAAACCAACGGAAAACAAATTCTTGTTTATTCATGCTACAAAAGTTAGAGTGGGACCATGCCACTGGGCAAGTCTCCCCATTAATCCTATTTCTCACAATCTGCACATTCAAGTGGATGGAGATCTGCAGTGAGGTGGCTACAGGTGAACATGTGCTCACCTGTAAGTGCTCCATGAGAAAGAGACTCTCCTGCAAGGTCTGCATCATCTGATCCTATGGAAGACCTGCACCTGAGATGCTGTTCACACATGTAGTACCTTTGCAGATGTCCACACTGGGAATGAAGAAGACCAGAACTAGAAGGGGAATACATGGTCCGGCTCTACCTTCTGCACTCCAGCTGCATAATTTACAGAAAGGGTTTCTGATGCATTCATGTGGTAAAAATAAGTAAATTCTTGGATTTTCAGGATCGAATGGCTGCCCATAACATCTGTAGGGTGGTTGTTGTTGTTGTTGTTGTTAAATGGCTGCCCATAACATCTGTAGGGTTGTTGTTGTTGTTGTTGTTGTTGTTGTTGTTGTTGTTGTTGTTGTTTTGCATGGAAGTCCCCTGTAGCAGTGTTTAACCCTACAGTTCAAGACAGGATAGTCCAGTGCATAATATAATGACCTTACATGTGATTAAATCCAAACTGAGGTCCCTTCTTACCTTGAGGATTACTTTTCCTTGGCCTATCCAACAGGAAGCATGTGCACTGTCCTTGAACAAATGTACCAAAAAAAAAATCAAATGATGGGTATTTGTGTGATTCTGTAGCAACTATGGGACACAGCAAGCACAATAGGTTATTTGGCATTTTCAGGGTTAAAAAGATGATCTGTGATTTGAATGGAGGAAAGAGGCAACCAAATGCAGTACATGAAACTAAGCTGCTGGTGCCAAAGTAGAAGGCAAGTTATGGTTGAAATCTCCAATAAAGTCTCCAACAAAGCCTGGACACTCCAACTACTCACAGAGTAGGGAGGTCTCATACTGAGATCACCACATGGCATATCTATCCCCTTGAAGCTGCTCTGCCAACCATTTTGCAAAGCTTTCAGGGGATGAGAAAGACTTGTCTTGCCATTTCAATTTGTGTTGTGAAATATTCTTTTCTCATTTAGACAGCACACCAGGAGATGAGAATCAGCCATTGTCTGATAACTTTACTAACTGGATTCCATTCTGTTCCTCTGCATTCTAACCTAACTGTAGCTTCTTGTCCAGAGGAGAGGTCACAGATTTAGACAATCAAATGTTGTGGCACACCCATTTTTTTAAAAAGCTACCTATACATTTTTTAAATCTACATAGTCAAAGACTGTACTGTAATCCATAAGGCATAATTTTCTTCTGAAATTCTTCAGTATGTTCTAGAAACGGGTGTGTATTTGCAGTATGATCACTAGTGCCTCTTCCATCACTCTCCTAGGGTGCAATGCTATGATCCTATCATTGCTGTAGTTACTTTGTTCAAGATAGGAATGTTTATTGGGGATTTCTAGTCTGTGGGCCACTGTTTTAAATTCCATGTTTCTCAGTTTATTCTTGTAGAGATTATAATTGTATAATCTCTACAGTTATAATATCTACAAGAATAAGATGAGAAACATGGAATTATAATTGTATTGTTTCCTAGCCGATACAATTATAATTATATAATTATAATCAATATCAGTAGCTTGTAGATCTATTACTATTCCATCTAATCCTGGTGAATACTTTTGCAATCCACTAGATTATGATAATTAGCATATGCTGTTTTGGTTTGTGACCCGTTTCCTTTTGACATTTGCATTCTAGAAGAACTCTGTCCCAACTGTAGGAGGACAGGAAGCAGGTGGCAAAGATTAGTTGCTTTGGCTAAGAAATGTCCACAGCACCAACCTGTACTTAGAACTCATTCTGAAAGTTCATTCCACTATTCTTATATGGGAACGAAATCTAGCGTGCTGCAGTATATAACTCATCCACCTCCAGATACGGAGAGGATTTACATTACCAAATGTTACCAGCCGCAGTTGGTGACGACGTAGCTGGTAGCTGTGCCAAGACATTTTGTGTTATTCCATTGCTGTGTTGGGTGGAGTTACTGTATATAACTTCACTCTAAGACGGAATTCCGTGCTGTAAGCAAAGTATAATGAAAAAACAAAAAAAATTGTCCCCTGTATTTTTATGTGTAGATTTTACTTCGTAAGTACATGAGAGAAATCAATGAGATTTAAGCAGGCCAACTGTGCATATAATTGCAGCCTTAGTTTCTAGAGCAAGGCATGAAATGATGAGCTGCCAGTCCTTCTTTGGTCCTTCCATGATATATTCTGTTGGATCTCAATAAGCTGTCAAAGTACAAAAGCATTTTATTGTTGTTTACTGAGTCAGATTGTTCAATTTTGTTTGTTTTGATGCTTCCAGCTGCGAGAGATTGCCCAGTAAAGTGCCTCATTTCCTTATCAACTGTTCTAAAGCCATCAGATATGAAAGCCCCAAATCAAGCTCACTTTCTGGAACTCTGGTTTTATTACTTTCCACCAGAACAACACGGAAATTAGGGTTATTCTTCTCAGTGTGCTTTGGAAGCATTGGGCAACTCCAAACTCAAGCTGATCTGAGCAGTTTCTGAAAAACAATGGAGAATACTGGACTTCTAAATGTGTGAATACTTAGTTCCGTTAACCTGAGATCCATGAAAGGCTGAGAAATGTTCAGAAGGAGTCCAGATTCATTATATATCTCTTTTTTTCATTTTTGAGACATTTTTCTATGCATGTTTAAGGCAGAATATAAAGTTTAAAACATTATGTTGCAAACTAGATGTGTATACTAGTTCCTGATATAAACCTTCTCTATTAAACTGCATTTATTGGGTCTATCTATGGATTTTCTTCATGCCCATGAGCACAAGGCAGTTAAGTCTACTTTAGAAAAGCAGATTACAGTTATTGACTTTCAATATTCCATATCAAATGCCCACAAAATCTGCTTACCCTTGCATTTTGATCTCATTTTTGAATTTTTCCAATGTGCCAAGTGTCTGGAATATCTGACAATCCCAAAATACTGGCTGGTCTTTTCAAGAGCTAGATTTAATTGCCTTCCATCTGCAGTCTTAGATGGGTGCTATTATGGGGTACCATATGAAAATCGATTGTGCTGCTGTAATAACAAAGAAATCGAAACTCTGGAGCATGTTGCATGCAATTTTTACAGGGATGAACATACCAGATTCCTTAATCCTGTAATCAGTGGTTTCCCAGGTAGGTATTTGGATTGGTATTTAAAATGTTTCCTAGCCAATACAAATATGTAAGTTCAGTAAGTTTCATCTTTCTGCACAAAGAGCACGCAAGACAATCCTTGCTTCTGTTTTATAATGCTTATTTATTTACTTACATTTTATTTGTTTACATTTTTTACATTTTACATTAATTTAACTGTTTTCAACCATTTTTTTCAAATGTTTTTACGACTTTTGTTGGGACTGTGACCATAAAATAAAGACCAATTGGTCTATTGCTAATGAGGACAAACCTTCAATGGGTTCACAAGAAAAATCCATTAGTTTCATAATTAAATAAATAATTAAATAAATGTGGAAGAAACCCAGATTGCAATTCAGTTGGACTTGTCATGTTTATATTTCAAAACTAGATTGATTACATGTTCCTATATTATTTATTCATTGTTTTTACATTTACATTGCACTTTTCCTCAAAGGAAATTTAGCACAGGAATAGAAGTCCTTACTTTGTTTATTCATACAAACTAAATGAAGTAACTAAGAAAAAAGTTCTACATGAACTGAAACAGCAGCATTTTTTAAAACAAATTCTGGAATAATATGCAGATGTTTGCAAGTAGTTGAAGTGTGCTTCTCTAAAAGACCTGGTGCTGGAAAATACTACAGCTGTCACCTTGTTGCATGAACAAATAAAAGTACCAGCATTGAATGAACTGTTTATTTCTTTGTGATCAATCAACTGCTCTTTATTCTTGCCATGTATGTGTGCTAGTGTCATAAAATGACAGGGATGTACCACTTTTTTATTGCTTATACTAAAGATTCCACAATTCTCCATTCAGGGAGTCCAGTATGACACATGGACACCTGTAGCCCCTTAAATGTGGCTTACCTGAAAGAAAGGACTAAGCCGGATGGCTTTGTGGCCTAGCTTCCTGGTCAAGAAGGAAGCTCCAAGGTAGCTTCTTTTGGAAAACCACTTAGGCCTTTCTCCCGGGTGACCCACATTTAGAGGTCTGCAGATATCTGTCAGGCGGGACTCCCAGAATGGAGAATTATAGAATTTGTAGGTTTTTTTAAATGGCACATTTCTAATGTTCACATACACTGGTAAATATATTTCAGATCCGATTCCCAGAATGGAGAATTATATATTAGTAAAAAAAAGAAAATCCACACCAATGTCAGAATCCCAATGTCAGAATCCTAGTACACATTGTATCATGGCCTTGTATTTTCCTCTTTTTTCACTGGGGTTGTAACCCAATGAATTAAGAAATATAACAGCCTTGCTAAATCTCACCAAGGTACATCTATTTCAGCATGCTGTTCCAAACAAGGGGCAGCCAACTGCATCTAGGAAGTCAATGAGAAGGGCAGAAAGTTGATGTCTTTCTCTGAAAAACAAAGGGGAGGGCAGGCATGAAGGTCCAAATCTTTGCGCTGCAAGGGACGTGTGTGTGTGTGTGCGTGCGTGCGTGTGCGCGCGCAAATAGACTGTTATTCTCCTGGATCCACACTTCCCTGTTCCCCTATTGTTTGTGAAAAGCAAAGATAATGAGATGTGTTTCCTGGAAACAAGGCTATTTCAGTATTTCTGAACCAGTCCCCATTTTCTGCTTCAGTCTGTCTAATAGCCTTCTCAGGGCTGCACTGCAGGCCTTCAAGAATGTAATCTCTATCATCATCTGTATCAATTTATTTTAATTTAGCACATTTGTTTCTTGTTTGTGGTAATGGATCATCTGTTGCTCGGTGTTTCGGCTCATGCTGGAAAATGAATACAAATAAGAACAGGAATGAAACTGGACACTCCAATGCCTTGATCATCAGAGGCACTGGGAAAGCTGACCTAAAGCAGCCAAAACAGCAGCAGCTCTGTCATGCTTAATTATCCTGCAAACAAAAAGCGAGCTTCATTAGGTCTGCCGAACAACAGACATTAAGACAAATGTTATAGTGCCTTCTAAGTAGCCTCAGGATGCAAACGGTCTATGCAGATACCTGTGATTTTTCCATTGTTTAATCTTCCTCTGTGTTGTCTCGGCCACAACTTTAATTACAACTTTGTCTGAATATTTCAGTGACTCAACAGTAGGAACAGGCAAGAATTTAATTTTGGATCTTTTTTTTTTTTTTAACCAAATTTACCAAAATCCATCAACATTCAAACATGGAAGAAACCAGATGGATAAACCCATCCCTAGAGTTGGTTTCAGTTCATTCTTGAGTGGAACTGACTGGAATGCCTAAAATCTCATTATTGAAGAATGAAACTGATTGATTTTTCTCCTGCATACCCCACAGAAAAGTAGATTAAATTGTAAACCATGTTACTGTATCTGCCTCCTTGCCATTTCCCATATGTTGCATTAAATATGTTTAATACAAACAGATTTTTAAGGGGCTGGGCAGCCCAGAGGAGATGCAGCTGCAAATTCCCTACCGCCCACCCTTATGCATAGTGTCCAAACCTAACAAAATTATCCTGGTACATAAACCATAAAAGCCCACAAACCTGTTCCTGCCTGTTCTTTTAAAAGTGCAATAACAAATCAAATAGCAAACAAAGTTGTTGCCCTTTCCTGGCACATACTTGCTTTCTGAAGCAATTGTTTCTTTCTTCCTAATGATGGGGATGGCCTTGCCTGGGAGCAAATTCTATCACTTGACTTTTATTTTCAAATGAAGCCACAAGGGCCTCATTTGTGATATTGTAAACTTGGAGATCTTTGCCTTAATTTATGGCGTCAGACTAGATTAGTCATTACGTATTCAAATTCTGTGTTCCATATTATTGGAGCTAAAATCAATTTCAGGCATATAATGTAAATTAAATTAAATTATTCACCAAGCACCAAGTCAAAGCTATGGTTTTTCCAATAGTGTTGTATGGAAGAGAGAGCTGGACCATAAAGAAGACTGACCACGAAAGAGTTGATGCTTTTGAATTGTAGTGCTGGAGGAGGCTCCTGGGAGTCCCCTTGCACCTATCCATTCTGAAGGAAATCAACCCTGAGTACTCACTGGAAGGACAGATCCTGAAGCTGAGGCTCCAATACTTTGGCCATCTCATGAGAAGAGAAATATCTCTAGAAAAGATCCTGATGTTGCGAAAGTGTGAAGGCAAGAGGAGAAGGGGACGACAGAGGATGAGATGGTTGGACAATGTCATCGAAGCAACCAACAGGAATTTGACCCTACTCCAGGAGGCAGTGGAAGACAGGAGGGCCTAGCGTGCTCTGGTCCATGGGGTCACGAGGAGTCGAACACGACTTAACAACTAAACAACAACAACAACAACCATTTGGCTTTATGTAGTCAATTGTTTAAATTGTTTTAACTGCTACCATTTTATTTGTGTTCATTGAAATAAATAAATAAATAAATAAATAAATAAATAAATAAATAAATAAATAAATAAATAAATAAAGGAAGGAAGGAAGGA